AACCCTTTAAAGCTTGATCCAAGAATAAAACAAAACAGAAAATTACTTCTTTTTTTTGGTTTGAAGTCCTTATTTGGCCTTTTAACAAAATATTACTATGCGATAAGTCAAAATAATTTTTCGTCTAGTCTTCTGCCCTCTGTTATCAGGTATATCTGATTGTGTACAATAGGATTTTTACCATTAAATTATGCAAAAGGTGTCAGACTCAAAACATTTCAGAAACCGTATGTATCAAATACGATACATTTGGCATTACAGGGTTAAAGACTTTAACCTTTATGGTTCTCTGAAGATTTTAGGGTGGGGGGGGGCATAAATACCAGAGGAATGTTGGAACCTGTGTCTTGTTTTCATTTCAAACTGCACACTCTGCTCATCTTTAATATAAAAATCTCAGTGAAATGCATTAAAGTTTGCGGTTTAAATATGAGAAAATATTGAAAAGTTTCCAGTGGCTGCTTCCTTTGGATCAAACTGGAAGTTAATTTCTACCAGTGATGATGGATGAATAACAGGAATTTTTTAAGAGACACTTTTGGTCCCATCTTTGTTTTATATTGATTTCATTCTGTTACTTGAAGACATATGCAGGCCTGGGGTCTCACCCAGATGGCTGTGGGATAACAGATGATCAGTCCAGCGGGGCTCATGCATGACTTCACATGTTGGTGCGGTGCTTCCAGTCTGTAGGGGAACAACGGCCTCCCACCTTACAGGCAGACGATGATCTCATGGTATCCATGAACCGTTTACTGTCTCTGTTATGTGGAAAGGCAATGTGTTCACCTACATTTACTTCAATATAACAAAAAATAAATGATAAAATGACCTCTAACTTTTCACGAGAGCCTAATTGTGTTTTGTAATGGAAAATGGAAGCCACAAATTTAGCAAATACTTTGACCTTTGAGGTATTTTCTTTGTATGACTAGAAATTTGAAGTCAGGTTTTAATAAAAGATACTTTGAGGCTTCATGTTATCAAGAACCTTTGAATCAAGAAGAAGTAGATTATTTTCATGAGTTGGATTAATTTTTAAACACAGTCTTTTGAGAAAAGGATAGTAGCCGTTATGGGTGGATATTGACTCCAACAGGATTACAGGAACGTGTTTTGCTTTTTAATAACTTTTAAGCCACAAAATAGTCCTGGGGTAATTCTGCATGGAGTTTATACCAGTACAGGAGGTGGGAGATGCACTCTGAGGTAATAAGATTGAGCCAATGAGCTAGGAAACTTATAGCTCCCTTAGTGGCTAATGGTTTGATCTTAATTCCTCTGGTTGTAGCTCCCTAGCTCCTATCCCTTCACCTTCAAAAAGGTTCAACAGTAAGAACCCTATCCTACGGAGGAGAGCCCACCTGACCCCACCCATAGAGCGTTCTGACCAGCTGTCTCACTGTGTAGTGTGGAGGCTGCAGCGCCTCAGACTGGAAGAAGGTGAGAATAGTGGAGAGAGGATCATGGGGGCTCCTCTTCCCTCCATTAAAGACATTTCATCCTAGTGCTGAGTGTCCTGAGCCTGTAACATTATAAATGACCCCTCACACCCCCACAATTGACTGTTCTCCCTGCTGCCCTCTGGGAAGAGGCTTCGAAGCATCCGATGCAGGTCCAGCAGATTCCAGAACAGTTCCTTCCCCACTGCCATTAGACTGCTGAATGTTGTAAAAAATCAGGTTATTAAAAAAAACAAAACCTCAATGTTTGAAACTGTAACTCATATACAGTCGGATGTTTACATTTATCACTGCTGCACTTTAAAAAATGAAAATGTCTTGAGAGCTGCACTGAACTGAACTTCTTTTTGTATACACTGTGTAAAACATGACAGTAAGACTTTCTAAGTCTTATGCATTCTCATCTTGTTTGCTTGAGGTCACCTTTCGTAATTTTCTTCTTCAAGCTGCCCTTAGATATGATTCTCAGGTCACTAGTCCATCATCACTCGCACAACTCCTCATCCTTCCAAAAAAAGCTGCTACAACCTATGGAGAACTTTAAGGATTTTCAAATACACAGTGCATGCATACAGAATCTGATATTAAAAATATTAGCAGAAATGTAATTATCTTAATCATTAATTTTAGAAAATGAAACTCAAATGAGAAATGGATCAAATACAATGAACTGATACCAGTAGATGTGGCTCCGAATGTCGTTCCTGATTCTAGAAACCTTTCACTGAACCTCCACAATCTGGGGCTCTTCTGTTAAACTGTAAATTAAGCCACTTACTTGAATCTTTTTGATATTAGTTTGACATTTGAGCAATCTTTCCTCCTCAGTCCAGGTAAGACGCTTTGGATGGAGCTGCTAAATGCAATGAAAGCAGCAGTTTTAATCCCCATGAAAAATGGTGTGTTCTTGTGTGTTGCTCTTGAGTCGCTCACTCCAGCCGAGTCCCAAATAATCACTTCCCATTAAAATGCTCAGATACAGCACATTGTTTACCAATCACCTTTTGGGGGCCCATGACCATGTTTCATCTTTTATATTTTTAGGTTTAAAATATTCAAATACTTGAGTTATTAGTATATGTGTTGGATTGTATGCAATTTCTGATTTCCACTCATTAAATATAATTGGAATGAAACAATTAATATAATGTTTAGAAACGCCTCTAGGCGCACCAGGATGTGTTTTATCCTCACTGGCCTGCAGATGGCAGACGCACCATTCCTGATGATGGCGGGCTGCCTTTCTCTGAGGGTCCCTCAGACAAAGAAGTCCAAAGAGCTCCACGACTTGACATTTAAAACCATTTGGATTCAAAGTCTGGCTAAAACATGGAAAATGCTTTGTTTTTTCATTATTATAATTATTTTATTATACTAGTTTTAGTTTCAGTAATTAAGGTTTTTCCCCTTTAAATATTGAACTTGTGGTCATGCAGAAGTCCATGTGCCATTTTCTACTACATGTCAAGCGCCTACCCAGTGCACGCGCGCCCCCTCTTCACCCCCTTCACGCGCACACCGCGCGTTTCTGAGCGCGCGGTGTGCACGCACGTAGCTTCCACCGCGGCTAGACCTCCTCTCTCTGGACAAAACAACACGAGGCAGCACCATGTCAATTAAATTAAATGTGGGGAAACTGTGGGGAGGGGTTGCGCGCGCCTAAATGAACAAAATGTCAAATACACATATTAAAACTTAAATGAAACAGCCGCGAGGATGCGGCCAGACGAGAAGATTAAAACTCAAAGGGATACCAAGTCTCTGTGCCCAGAGGTGCTGATATTGAAAGATGCAAATAGTAAAAGAGAGCCCTGCTCTACTCACTCTAATAGTTTCAGCTTAAAACTATAGAGACAAAGGCTTTGAGGAGGGGATATAAAAAAAGGCTGGTCTTTATCATATGGTTGCTGTATTGAGTCAGAAAACAATGCAAACAATGACTGTTTACTGCATTAAAGCACAGCTATGTGTTGCATTTAGTAGAAAAAAAGCTAATAATGAAATGAATACTCTTATACTCCATTTCTATTCATAAATGATTATCAATTAGGTAAAAGTGTCAATTACAGCTCTGCGTTTCCTTTCTCTTATTTTGCTTATATCATTAGAAAAAGAACAATTTTCACAGACCCGGCTAATCACCTCTGAGGGGAAAGAGTGGGTGGTGACATTAAACTGAACCGTGGAAATGGAACAGGAATTAGATGCACTTAGCCATCACATGTTAATGGCAGCAATCAACAGCCAATTACCCGACGTTCTTGAGTACCTTGACAAGCGCAGGTGTACCCTACGACTAACATGAGCCCCTTTTGTGCGTTTTCATAAATCCCACCGTTTACCGGCCTCTCTGATTGCGTCTGCATGTTCTGTCGAGGTTGCAATTAGGAAATATT